CGGTGGTTGCGCCTGAGGGGGAGGCGGCCCGTGGGGCCATTTGCCCGGTGGCAGCTGAGAAGGCTCCGGGGAGAGGCCGAGAGTGCCGGGCGGCTGCGGCCTGCGCTGTGTCACCTCGGGGCCGGTCCCCGGCGGGCTGGAGGCCGTGTCTGTGGGGAGAGTGGGGACCTCAGGCCCCTGCCCCAGCGCCCCTGGGTGCTGCCCTGCACCTTGGCAGCCCCTCAGTGGGCAGCTGTGAGGGAGCATGGCAGGGGCTGTCCCCTGGACAAGGCGTTTCGGGTACAATGTGTGTGGTGGGGTTGGTTTTGCTCAGACGTGGCAGCGTGGTGGTGGCCTGCCAAGCAGCAGAGGCAGCAGGATGGCAATTTCCATGGGATTTTTCTCCACGGGCAAACACCTACCCTGGTGGTGCAAACAGCCCCATAATGGATGCATTGGACCTGCAGCTGTGTCTCTCTGATGTTATAACAAAGGTGTCTGGTAGCCTGTGTAAACTAGGTGCGATTGGAAAAAAAGAAAAAAAAAACAACCAGAAAGTGTACACTGTGTAAAATAGGATATTGCATCCATTAGAACAGTACCATGAATGGGCTCTGTTAGCATCAGTACATCAAGAGCACAGAGAAACCACCTTTGTGGATGTGCTGCAGGTTGTGATTCACGCATTCAGTATCTGAGCGTGTGACAGCTGTCCAGGCTTTCAGAGCGAGTTAAGGTGAACTCAAGTTAATCACTGATGTGCCTGCTTGGTTGGTAAAGAAATGTATGTTCCCGCACTTGCTTTAAGGTCTGACTGCATTATTTTAAAGGTCTGTGTGTTGCTGGGGCTCAGAGATGAGAATTGCAGCTCCTCAGACAGAAGAGGGTGCTGCCGGAGCATGGAGAACAGTGTTAACACAGGCTCAGCAGCCATGTTCCTCTGGACATAAAGTAAAAAAGCATAAAAGCTTGTTCGGGGGACAGCACAGAGGAAGAGACAGAAACAGTTTTTCAAACTTTAGGATCTCCCACCTTTTTTTCTCCCAGATTCCCACTAAATGACCAATGTGGGGTCACTTCCCTTTCCATGTGTGAAAAATCACAGCAGATCCCTGTCAAACATGAAAGTTCCTCTTCTAGATCTACCTAAAAAGTCTCAAGAAACCCCAAGGTCTTGGCATGAAGCTCTCGTTCTGCCACATCATCGTGTGTGTCACCCAATGAGCAGCACGTCACTCCACTTAGCAAACATTCCTGGAGTCCTGTCCCCTGAGTCAAGGGCTGCCATCTGTCCCAGAAATGACAAAGTAAGTGGCCCGATTTTTCATGGGCCTCTCCCGTGACCTGCAGAGCTGGTATTAGCGGATGATCGAAGACTGATTCCAGGACACTCCATGCCTCAGTGAAGCAGGTAAATGCTCAGGTTACTCCCGGGCACAAGGTGATAACCCTTAAAGACAAA